ATCCCTGCTGAGTAGGCAACTACCATTGTTATGTAATATAAAACTTAACCCCAATACAAAATCTACATTTATATTTAAGTCTCTTACCCATATTTTATCTACCTTGTAGCTAGGTTTATAGAAATCTAAACATGTGTTATAAAGCTAATCTGGGATTTATCTACATAATGTCTGTATATATTGTGGGTTCCATCCATCTGCATAGCTGCAACTGGCTTATCTAATGTTTAATTAATTTGGTGGAACTATCTTCTTATTTATTATACATCTTGTGCATCCGGAATCTACTAAGGCTAATGTTTCTATTCGTAATCCTTTATTTTGATTCTTGCTAAGATTTTTATTGTACTTAATCTTTTATCTTCATTACATATTAGCGTGTCATATTTTTCTATACTCATTAGTTCCTCATCTACCTCTGTTATCTTTTCTCTGTTGTCTTCCAATTTCTGTTTTCCTTTTTCTATTTTTTTTATTCTTTTTCTAATTCATCTATTCCAGTTTCTAATGCTATTATCCTCATATTCATAGTAGAATCAATTATCTCTTCGTATTTTTCTTCATTGTATATTTTTGTTTTAAATTCCTTTTCTATGCATGAAATACATCCCTCTAGATAGCATAGCTTACATTTAGCCCTTTTATTTTTACTAGGGTACCATTTGCATATAATCACTGATTACTATCTAATCCTTTATTCCTTTCGAAACTATGGACACATTCTTCCAAAATGTTTACAAAAGTATTTTCTTGTATTTCTTCTAAATCTAATTTTTCTAATCCTATCTCATTTATTAATTCTTCTTCTTCTGATTCTTAGGTGTCTATTTGAGTTTTTTCTTCTATATCTATACTTACTATAGAGTATATACTTTCATTATCTGACATGTATTCGTCTACGTTTATTAAAGTTTCTTGAAAATCTTCTATTAATTGTGAATTTCTTGTTTTATTATTGATTCTTTTTGGGCATGTATTAGCTAAGTGTTCTACACTTCCACAAGTAAAACATTCTAGTTTATTTTTATACTTCCTTTCTGTTCTATATTTTCTAACGTGTCTATTTTTATCTAGATATGGTTTTCTAGCTGATGATTTTCTAAGATAATAATTTTTTCTATTATATCCCTTATTATATTGAGGTTTATATTTTCTATATTTTTTCTTTTTATATTCATTCTTGTCATAACTTTGTGTTGTATACACAGTTGATTTGCAAAAACTCATATTATTCTGTTTTAGTTATTTTTGTATCTGTATATGGGTACACTTTTCTTGTAGTATTTCCATTATATGTTGTATTTTATGTCCTACTGACCATTTTGCATTTGGATTTTGTATTACTCCCTCTCTTTTATACCATCTTTCTTCTATTTCTCTTCCCAAAACTCCTGGGAGTTTATTAAATAATTTTTTACCTAAATCTTGATCAAAAGCATTTCCACTAATGGTACAATAATAAAAATAATCATTTAAAAACTTTTTAATGTGAAACCAACTGCTTATACTTAATTGTTCTTATTTTATTAAAGCGTTCTTCAGTAATACTACTAATCCACTATTTGGATTTTCGCCTGTAATTAAACTATGTATTTTATTTGTAAAATTATAAGGATTTGGTCCCATTGCTATTAGGTTTTGAAAATCTTGTGGAAATTCAGACTTATAGGCTTCCCATAATCCTTTTGTTGATTCTCCTAAGAAAGTCTCCATATATTTATACATTGTTTCTGCATCTGTGTCATTATTGGTTTTTATATAATCTGCCACTACTATTCCTTTCCAGAGGTCTATTACCGATTTCCACATTTGTGGATCATGAGCTGCTATATTTAGTATTTTACCTTTACTTCCTCCTTCTTGTAACCTTATAGGTTCCTCTATAGGCATCCTTTTTCCTGATGGTTTTACATTTTCTGTTTCTATCTCCTGATTTAGTCTATATACTCTTCTTCTAGGTACATTTTCCGTGCTAGTATCTACTGTACTTTGATGGATTGTTCTTTGAAATGGACTGGGACTAGAACTAGTCGATTCCATTAATTCTTTTATACTTATTAAGGATTCTGTTCCTGTTTCTTCGTAACTATCCTGAATCTCTTCAAAAATCTGATCAAATTTATCGCATTTGTTTTGTGACATACTTTCTTTTCGATATCCCCAATTATCTGTTCTTACTTCGCATTTCTTAAAATGTTCTTCTGTTTTACTTAAGGTTAATCTTCCAAGCTTACATCCTTTACATTGGAACGTCTTACTTTTATTTTCTTTAACTAGTTTCCTTGCTTTTTCTAATGCAATATCTACTTCAAATTCGTCTTGTATTATTTCAATATTCATACATTCAATATCTTCTATCGTACTTTCAGTTTCATCATCTATTTCTCTATGGGCAGAATAATTAAAATCAGTAAACCTAATTGAAGTTTCTCCCTTTGAGTTTGTGTACATCAAATGAGATTCTGGTTTGAATATTTTTGGTTTCGTGAAATCTATTAGATTCCATTCTAATCCAGCATATTCTTCTGGGCTTATCTTTATAGGTTTTATTAATTTTATCCCTTTATTTCCCATTACTTCGACTACATCTTTTACTTTAATTTTAAACTTTGTATTACTATTAGTTGCCATTTTTCCTATGAAACCTACGCATATAAGTAAATTATTTCCATTATTCATTTCTTCATATCCTTTAG